ACCATTTCTTCCAGACTTTCTCTTCCCTGCTCTCCAGCTGGACTAGAAAGGAAGGCAAAAGAAAACACTCAGTCTCTTTAACCACAGACAAGGGCAAAACCCTGGGTCCGCAAAGAAGCCAAGAATACTCAAGCAGGTTTGGAACCACGAGTGGCCCAAGGATACTTATTGAAAACTGATATATGTTGTAACTCTACACTGTATTCGGAGTATTTCTTAAGAATTATTTTTATTACTCTTAGGGAAGCTGACATTCACATAATTCACATTTCAAAAGGGTTGGGGGTCTTTTTTTGGGGGGGAGGGGGATTGTTGTTTTGTTTTTACCTCTGAGTAGCTATGGTCTGGTCCCATGGACTGCTGACTGCATCTCCCAGCTTAGTGTCATCTGCTCCATGTGGTACATCACCACTCCATAGGCAACCAGAAGCAAAAGAAGTGAGTTCCTGTTCCAAATTAACAGAATGATGTAGGTCATACTCCCAGACTGTGACTGTGGCCACCTATCTTACAGGAAGTGGCAGAGGTTACTCAACATTTCACCCTCTCATAAACCTACTCTTAGAGGACAGTATCATGGGTTGCTTTCAAGCTGAGATGATACCAAACATTAAAGCTTCTAAACTCCATTACCAGTCTCTGTGTTACCTTCCCTTCAAGCCAAGTTTGGTTTAGAAACTGTTTAAAACTCTCTTGAGAAATACGATCTGGGATTCTTCCCTCACTCGAGGCCCAATTTCACACCATGCTCCACATGCAGCTTCAGATATAAACCTTTCCACTAATATAAATGAACTATTTTGGTTTAACAAAAAACATCAAAAATAGCCTTTTTTTTTTTTTAACAATTTTTCTGTAGCAAAGTTGAGAGAATATTTGGTACATGTTAGTATTTCACATTTGTTTAACTTCTAATACCTAAGAAGTAGGCCAAGTCTCATCAGCTGCAGAGGGACTTGGCAAGAGTGAGAGCAACAGGCTTCATTAGGTCTGGGTATCTCTGCCCAAGGCAGGGTAGGAAGAAGCACGGATATTAGCTAATAAGGAAAAAGAACTGTTCAGACAAGTACACTGAACTGTAACTCAGAGGACTACATTAAGAGATTTTTAAAAATTTAATCAAATAATATAGAGACTACCACTCGTTATCTACGCAAGTAGTAAAATACCCACAGATAGGGACGTCTGAAAAATTTGAACAGAAAAAACGCATTGGAAAATAAAACCTTTTGTAAGAAAACAAACACAATACAGAACGCACTGGTCCAGACTTAAAAAATGCTACTGTTATATTTTAATTTACAGATTTTTCTTTAAAAATAAAAATTAAACAATTCCATGTTAATATATTTGTATATTACAGTCAAAATAATTTTGCCCCTATTTTTCCGACATAATGTTTGAGAAGACTTAATTTTACAAACAGGTTACACAGTTTATCAGGATTATAAACAATGGGTGAGAAAATAACAGCCTTTGGTGCCAGGGGTACATGCTTGCCCCAGTTTGGAATTGGGCCCACTGTCATCGTTAACAAAACATGGTGCTTTTAAGAGCTCACGCTCCAGCCTTTGCTCAACTGCTGTTTTCAACACAGAATTCAAGTGAAGCCACAGTTTGATGTGCACACCTGGTCTTCCTAACGATAAGCAGCAATGAAACTAATGAAAGAACTGGATGATATGAGGTTATGGGCATTTCTTCTCCAAGAACTAGCTCCACAGCAGTTCAAGAAGCTTGCTGGGGGCTTGAACATCAAACTGTTACTCTTTCTTGGTGGAAGTGTATCGCTGGTCAGAGCAGGTGCTCAATGACAAGAGCTTGATTGCCATCCCTGCAGAATGGGGACATCAGGAAAAGAATATTTTAATGAGCAGGTTTTCTTCTTACATCTTCAAACTTCACGGTAGATATGCTTCCCCAGTGAAGTTAAGCCCTCTAGTGGGTAATCTGTGAGTAACCATTTAGAATAAACATCTTCAGCCACCCAGGCAGACACCAGCCCAATTCCACGAACATTTCTCATTTAATAACCAAGTCTGTGGGGATGACATCACTCTACAGGATTAATGGGGCATTTTTATAGGATCAGAGTTCCGTTCAAGCATTTTTATTGTGCTCGGAGCCTTTTGGTTGAAGAAATTACATGCAGATATAATCTCTGGATATATTAGTAGCAATGTGAGTTTTATTTTCAGCCTTACCATAAAAGAAGAGCAAAACAACAATCTTCAATTGTTACAAGCTGTCTGTGGGCAGAAAAAACAATACACCAGGTTTCCCCAGAAGTGGGAAATCCACCCCTAAAGTTACTGGCGTCAGACATTGCATCTCCACCTGCCTCCCCAAGTTTCATACCACAGTAACTTTGTGTCCTCTTTGTGTTTTCCCCTGCATCCAACTGCTCTAACAGCCAGGCAGGAATCGTTTTTGGACAAGGCACAACACAGGGTACGTCTGTGCCAACTGGCAGGCCAGCACACATTTCCCAAGCAACGAGTGAGCCATTGCTTCTTAGTCACCACATGAGCTGAACAACTACAAGGCTTATTTTTCTGCAGCTGAAGCTAATTAACATCTATCAAGATGTCAGTTTTCACAAAACTCTTAGGAATTCAAGTAATCAGATTTGAAGTTAGCCCTGAATAGCATCTTTTCCTTAGAAAGCCAGGCTAGGAGGCAGGACACTGCAGACTTTAGCAGCCCAAGAGTTGTGAGCAACTCCAAGACAGAAACTCCAAGGAACGCAATGGATGAGAAACTGGTCAGATCTGAGGGTGCAGAAAGGGGGGAACTGAAGAAAGCAAACCATGCACCTTGCCACAGATGCAGCAAGTGTCTCGGATAGAATATCTCATTCACTTAGTGCAAGACCAAAAATCCCAGTTCAATGGACAATGTTCAATGTAAATTGGTGATAGAACATACACAGTCCCCTCTGCTCCAATGGGAGTGTGAAAGGTTTGAGTAAGAGTGCTCTACTTCTTACTTGGGTCAGGGAATTTGGTGTTTTGTGGCAGATGCTGACAGATAAAACAGATGGATGGAGAAATCCTTCATAGAAGGAATTCATTCAAGTTACACATTTAACTCTCAAATAACTACATTTCAGTGAAAATGCCTCAAATGCCTTCCCTCAGAAAAAGCAGAGACATCACAACAAATACTAACATTTCTAAAAAGCCCTGAGTACCTATTTTCCTAAACTAGAGCAAAAAGGGAAACTTGTACTATTCTTTCCAATTCCCCAACCCACCTCTCAAAAAAAGCTGGTTTAACCATGTGTTGACCGAGTACACTACAATGACCTACTGTTAAATGAGAGAATACATTAGTTGAAAGCCCAACAATGATCTCAAGTATCAGGGTGTTCCTGTAGCAACTTCAGTACTGGCACATGACGATGGACATGGAATTACCAGGCTGAGAGAGCATTGCAGCAGCAGCTCAGCTCCCAGTTGCTCAGTCTCCAGCGTTTCCTCCAGTTCCTCTCCAACATGCTTTTTGAACATAAGGAATGAGAGCCCAGGGCTGTGACCGTGCCTCTGCGTAGGGTCAACTCATGCCCAAGGCCTCACTCACCTACTTGCTACCCTTCCAAGAGACAGAATAACCCTTTCTGAACAGCCTTGTGTTGGCACATCCCATGTCTTGCTTGGAACTTTACACTTTGTTTTTTTGGCCCTGGAAGATCACTTCCAGAACGAAAAATCTTCCAGGAACTCAATGGATGAGAAACTGGAACTTCTCCAAGGTTTCTTTTTATGTTTGGTACATACTCCCGAGCTAGAAATTTGTTGTTTTTCAACCCCAGCTTTTTCCCCACTTCCTTCCCTAAGGCCTTCAAATTCCCTCACCTAGCTCATAACTTAAGCAACTATCTGACTTCCACAGGGATTTTTCTGGTTTATTACATCACTTAATGTAGTGCTCCAAGTCTACATCTATCTGTGCTTGTATTTTGTGAACATGCTGAAGGATGAGTAACTTAGACCAAATCTTAGTTGTAACACCAAGTCCTTTTTGCTTTACATTTACAAAATGCTATTTTTGAAGCAGAATAGAGAGGATTTGTTATTTTGAAAAAGTTTCCTATATTTTAGACATACTAATTCAGAAAACCCTGCCTCTGTATTATCTGGTACAGGAAGAGTTCAACAAAACCCCCTTTCCCTGGCCCCATCATTACTTTGTTTTTGACACTATGAACTTTTAATCACAAACTCCAGAGCAGCTGCACTGAGCTCCTCCAGAGCAGAGCCCACTGCCACACTGTGTTCGCCCTCAAGGGGGTGAATTCCATGTCACCCAGCCAGCACCAACAAGAGCGGCTCATGCAGGCAGGCCCCATGCTCACCACCACCCAATATTCCATGGCTGTTTGGAATTCCACTCTCGGTCTGGTTATTCCAGGAGAACGCACAACGAGAACAGAAGTGCTCCGCAAGGACACGAGCAGCTGGCACTGAAGCGTGCACAGGAAGACACTTCAGGTGCTTGTGACACCAGGGTAGCACCCTAGAGCAAGTTGTGTCACACACACTGGAGAAGTACAAGTCAGACCCATGCTGGTGCAACAGGCATTATGGACCACTCCTGCAACCTGGCTCAGACATTTTCCAAAGGGAAGAACATGAGCTACTCACACTGGTTCGTAACTCCATGAAGAGGGACTACCCAGCTGCTGGAAAGGGTTCGTGCTTGTTTACACTGATCAGAAAGGCAAAGACTGAAATCTGCTTTAATTAGCTGCTACACTGCAGCACGTAGCCACAAAAAAAATAGAATGGAAGTCTTCTTTATGTTCTGATAACCCCAAATACATCAACAGGAAAAAGCTTTTTCCTACTCCCAAGACCCCACCTACCCAGACTTACTCAGAGGGGATAAGAGAACTCCCAACAGCCCTCTGAAGTTACTTGAATACCGAGCAATTTCCATACTGATCTTAAGTTGTGAAAAATCTAGCTACCCACAGAGAAAAATGAAATTTGGAAAGGTATTTATCCAATTCTCTTTATGTTTATTGACTGCCACATGACCACAGAACAATTTTAACGGTAAGACTTCTGGTAGCGTGCACGAGCACCAGGTCCCCCAAATTTCTTGGATTCACAACGGCGAGGATCTGCAACCAACAGAGTCCTATCATACTGGATTAGAATATCCTTGATCTCCTTCTTGGAAGCTTCATCAACATCTGTTTAAAAAACAAACAATCTTTCAGTGTAAGAAGCTTCACATGGAACAAATCCATACTGACATTTTTTGCACCAAGGCCACCAGAAGCCACACACTTCCACTCAAGGCTAGTATAATAACCAACTTACATTTTTGATAATAAGCCACCAGTGCTTTGGAAATAGCTTGACGGATAGCTGTTACAAGAAAGAAAACAAATCAGTAAAGATTGCAGGCAAATTTACAACCTCAACACAACGTGCCAGTTAGCTGAGAAACTTACTGTCTTGTTTTCTGCCAAATTGTCCTTTCCCTCTCTCATCTCCTCCCCCACCCCCTTACTCCACAGGACCATCACTTTGAATATCCAAACAATCTGTGCCAAGAGGCCACCCACAGTTCACACCTTGGTTTTACAGCTGCCAGCTAGCCCAGGAGCTGTAGGTGGGCAGTATCAGCCACCTTCTCACCCAAGTACTGAGGTAGGTTCTTCCACTACCACATGGTCAACTTTCAAAATCCTTAAAAGCACAGTTCTCTGAAATGTGTTATTTTCAGCAAGAGCAGAACTGACCAGTGTGTTCAAAGCCCAGGAGGCAGAAGGGGCAACAGGCAGGTGTGAGTGGTTCTTCTGGCACACCTCAACAAATCAGCCTGTAGCACAGTAACCAGAACTCAAAACTGTGAGTATAGGAGTAACTGTAAAGATGCCCTTAGGCTGTTATCCGTCACAACATCAAGATCAGAATTTTGAAAAAAATGTTTTCTTTTCTGAAAAACAAACGCAGTCAACTTTGAGCCTGAAACATGTCTCTGCTCTTTATGCAGTTTCATCTCCACTAACCTATACCCAAACTGAAACACCACAACAAATCTATGAACAGCTAATGCAAGCATGTTCTGTCTTCTCTGCAAGGGGAAAAAGCTGTCCAGCTTCGCAGGTCAGCTAGAAGATGCTTCTGAACGTGGAAATTTACAACTAAAGGTGTGATTTCTACTGATGAGTATACTTTCCCCTCCCCAAATCACTGCACTCCACTGCTCTCAAACTGTCCTGTCACACTGCAAGATACAAAGATCAATTTCTCAAAATTTCTTCAATATACTGCATTCAACTTGCTCTAGATGTTACAGTTTTGTACATACAATAGAGCTCGTAAGCCATCACGAAAAGCTACACTTGTGCAATGGAAAAACAAACAGAAGGCGCTGATGCACAAGTTACTGTTACTCTGAAGCAGGTGTGCTGACCCGCCCCAGCCCCCCACGGAGCTCCCCCCAAAGCCATACCGTAGATCTGCGCCACGTGGCCGCCACCCTTCACACGGACTCGGATGTCCACCCCTGCAAACCGCTCCTTCCCCAGCAGGAGCACGGGCTCCAGCAGCTGGGAAACACAACAGAAAGAAAATGCACTTCTGGTCAGAAACGACGACCATTAGAGCTTGCAGCAGGTTTATCAGTTGTGAAGTTATTGCACGTTCTGAAAAAGGGAGCCCCAAGTTTCCAAGCGCACCCCACAGTTAAGTACCCCTCCTGCAGACAGCTTTGATGTCCACTGGCACTGTTGTAAAATAAACTTACTGCAGTCCTGAATTCGTTTATTTTTCAGTTTCAAAAATCTTAATGGCAAAGCCCGTGCACATGGGAATTAGGAGTGAGGGCACAATTTAAGTAGAGTGCTGCAGCTGTATCTGCATTAGAAAAATAAAACGACTAAAATGGAAGAGCTGAAATAATCTGTGGGTAGTTTTCTCCACTATTTACTAATGCTCTATTTAGACTTTATTTATTAGACTATATTTATCTAGACAGTTTTAGATTCTCTCAGCAGTGTTCAATATCAAGTCCTGAAGAATCTTAAATAGGTGTTTTAAGCCACCCATTTCAATTAAAAAAAAAATGCAACGTGATGCACTTTGTGTATTTACAACATGCATTAATCCAGTTAAACAAAACTCCCCACTCTTTCAAACAAGACAATCACAGGAGGATAGTTTTCTAAAATTTTCACAGTAACGTCTACATTTCAGGTAATCAGGTAACAAGCAAAAACTGAGTAGTGTCAATAAGGCAAGCAACTTTTCTTCATCCCCAAGCGATTATGGTATTTTAACATCCAAGATGGTGGGATACGGGAGGCTACGTGGACACTTACCTTATACTGCAAAGTTCTGGGCTCAATCATTTCCAGAGGCCTTCCATTCACTTTAATGAGGCCATTTCCTCTCTTGCAGTGAGCAACAGCAGTTGCTGTTTTCTAAAAATTCAAATGTGTATTAGTGCAGCTTTTAATTCTTGTACTAGCAGTGTGAACTCCTGTTTACTTTCAACAACCTAAAAATCTTAATTTTTATGCCCAAGATTAACATCTCACACTAAACAAAAGAGAGACTCTCCTTATGCTCCCAAGCTTTGACTCATGATATTAAGACACCACTTTAATAAAATCAGTTATAAATGTTATGTAGTTATAAGATTTAGTTTTTTAAAGAGGGGAAGATACCCTCTCCATTCCACAACGCGGTATTCTTGTTACTCATTTCATCTCACCAGACCCCGTGAG